TAGAAAAAAATGAATAAGTATAAGAGATAAAGTATACTGGGATCTTATATTTAGAACCAAAATAAAAGTCAAACAAGATCTTATATTAAGGACCGGAGGTAGTATAACACTTGAGAATAATAACTTCTTTTTGTTTGTTTGTTTAGTTATGGTTTAAAAACTTAAGTCTAGTGTTAAACAACATGAAATACTCCTTCTATCCTTAATAGAAGACCTAATTATTTAGATGATTTTAGTTCTAAATATTTCTCATATTTATTAATTTTTTCTAAATTATTCTTATGAATACTCCTTCAACTATAATCAAGTAAAAGAGAGAAGGAGGATGTTAAAGAAAATGATTATAGTGTTTTAGGAAAAACATGTCATATTTCTTAAAATTAACTAACTTACCCAACTTCCTTCATCTAATCAAATAAGTTAAATATGTCTTATATTAAGAATAAGGGAGTATTATAATTTAAAACATGCAGAACAATAAAACGGTCTTTTTCTGGCGTCATATCCATAGTTATCGCATCATAGTTAGAACTTAGAAACTCCAACTCTGTATTAAGGTCACAATTGATATCATGATGAGCTTGAGACGCGTTTTCCTGCACTCGCCTAGCTTTTGGGATTGCCTTGACTATTCTGAAGCATACCTGAGGTCTGATGATAACATGATAACCAGAAAAGGCACAAGATAGAAAGATTTTGTAGAAGCCATTTTGAAAAATTACTGGGCACAATTGGTATATTAATAACGATGTTGCAAAGAGTTATGTGTGGGCTATTTGTACTTTGTTTAGAACTTCTAATTAGTCAGTTTATCACAATTTTTGTTTGCTTGCTTTAGATTTCAGCAAATTTCATGGTTTTCTTATAAGTGTTAACCAGATTTAAAATTAAGAAACTACAATATCTAAATATACATACAATATGAAAGCAACAAAGGCCCCCTATTTAGTATGTTGGGAAGTTTTTTTTTTTTAAAAAAAAAAAATTGAAATGAAAGCAAGAAAGGGAATGAGGAATGTAAGTACTACCTCTAGCCTCTAGGTCTTAGTACTAATACGAGGAGATTAAAGAAATGAAAAGATTATTTAATTATAGTATATATTACATGATTTTTTTTAAAATACTTATGTGTATCATTAAATTAATATCAGTTTATAAGTTAACCAAATTAGTTTATAAAAAAATAAAAATAAATATTAAAATAATTTTGACAGTTTTCTTAATCTCTTTAAGTTAGTTAATTGGATCTTATATTAAGGATTGGGGTTAGTAATTAAGAAAGGAAATTAAATTAGGTTTCAAAGGTGCGTGTGGTGTGTCAAGAAAAATCATTGGTATCCTAAAGATAATTTTTGTTTGGCATGACTATTTTAATGATAAAATGCTGAACTTAAGATTCCAAAAGACACTAATACCCTTCTAGTCATCTCTGTAATCAAATACTACCTCTAATTTTTAACACAAGAATCAGTTAACTAATTTGAGTAAATTTAAAAAATTTATTAAGTTAGTTATTTGTAACAAATAGATATTATCTTACGTAGAATACTTTTGCTAATCATGTGTATTAGGTAGAACTATCATGTGATAGAACATTTAACATGCGCAACTATTACAATGACTACTTTAAAAATATAGATACATATAAGAGATAAAATATATTAGAATCTTATATTTAGAACCAAATTAAATATTAAACTAACTTTTATGTTAAGAACTAGAAGCAGTAGATTTGTTTTTTATTAGTGCCATGAGAAGTAAGATCTACCAATGCAAAAAGGAAAACGACATCCTAACAGTACAATTCTGTAAATTGAACGACATCTCGACTTGCCATTCCCATCTGGCTTATTAATGAAGAATAATAAAATTGTTTCATTTGAATATAATTCAGAAGAAATCGGAAATCATTTACATGTCCCAAGAACACTTCAACAGAATCAATTTTGACAACAAGTAACAAATGTATGTTACCAATCTTGGGAGTTCCATGGATTAGACAATATGGAATTCAATTTCAATTCCAATTTTCCATTGTCATGGCTCCAATTCCTGCGTGCCAAACGGGTGCCCAGATGAACCGCATTTCTTATGGGTAGTAGACAACGTGATTTTCTATTATTTTTTTTATAGAAAATGGAAAATTGGGTTAATGTAATGTTTGGTCATTATAATTTGTCTCCATTTTAATTTGGTCTCTATAATTTTGGTCCTTTTAATTTTAATTATGTGTATTAGAACTATTTTTTGGCAAAAACTATTACAACTAATAGGGATATTTTACGCAAAACATTATAAATTTAGAAGTAAAATTGATTAAAATCTTATATTTAAGATTAAGTTCAACTAATTAACCAGCTCTTATATTAAGTATTAGAAATAGTATAAAATAATGTGGTTAAGTTTACAATGATAATAATACGCATATAGAAAAGTAACAAGGTAATAGGCTTTAAGAAGAAAACATGCAAGCCCTAGGACTCTTAAAGCCAAAAGGATAAATTTAGAAAACATGTTTTCTCTTCAAAATCCATTTTGAATCAGTAATTTTGATCCTCAAATTTAACTCAAGTTTAGACCAGTAATTTTAATTTTCAAAATGAAGTTAAATTTTAAAAATCATTTTAGAAAACTAAAACTAAAACCAAAATAATATCAAATTTTAAAAAATAAACATGATAGTAGCCCTTTTCAAAAATAATGATTTACACAAAGTTCTTAATTTTTTTGTTTTCTAAACTTAATTTAAAAATCACTCTATGGAGATATTATAAGAACGTAAAATAAAAAACAATATCAAACAAGGCACAAAGCCCTGACAGAAATAGAAGAAGAGCTTTGAAACAGAGAATTGCGAGAGGCTTTAAACGCAAAAACCTCTCTCCAAAAATAGGCGTATGCCGCTTTATGCAACGAGCACACGGTATTCTTTAGTAAAAGGCGAAAGAATAGTTCGCTCTGTGCCCATTGCACGGCTCCGTGAAATGGAAGTGTACAGAAGGCGCCTTCATATAGCCTCCTATAGCTGGGTCGTCTTTGTAAATTCCCAACGTGGGACTCGCTATTGCCCGGGAATGCCATCTCAACTTCTTTCAAGTTTGAATTGCCAACAGTTGTCCATTATACGCAAATTGTTGAGAGAATTAATTTAATATATTTCTCCGGTCCTTAATATAGGACCAAATTATTGAGTTGGTTTTAGTCCTAAATATAAAACCCATTTTTCATATTTATCAGTTTTCTCTAAATTACCCTTATAGATACTTCCTCAACCATAATCAAGTAGAAGAGGAAGATAGGGTATTAAAAAAGATGATTATGATATTTTAAGAAAAACGTGTCATATTTCTTATAATTAATTAACTTACCTAAATTCCTTAATGTAATCAAATTAGTTAAATATGTCTTATATTAAGAACAGGAGGAGTATGTAAATATCATAATGATTAATTTGATTAGTGATTTTTAAAATTCACTAACAACTTTACTCAGAAGCCCAAGCATTATTCATTTAGGATGATGTGCTTTTTTCTTATAAGCATAGATAACGAAGCAATTCTGCATTATCAGGTGTTAAATGTAAGTATTTTTCTTAACGAGAATTTAAACTTTATTTTGTTATGTTATGGGAAACTAATTCTTTCTGCTAAATTCAATTCTCATTCGTAAATGAGGTGCTTATTAGTTTTTGTACATCAACACTGGATGGTGGGCTTTTGCATGCATTGCAAGAAATCTTGTATAGCATTGGCAAGTCACTTTATTCACAATTCATAAATAATTCAATATAATATAAATCCAAACAGCGTATCATCCTGGCGCATAACTAAAGTTATTCAATCATGTGAACTTCTTTGTTCAACTATCAACTTTTACACCGAGTTTGGCAAGGCGTTTTAGGAGGAAAAAATAACTCATAAGTATGATAAGTCAGTTTGTAAATTTAAGAGTTGTTTGTCACAGTTTTTGACTAATCTGACTTGTGGATCAAAAACTGATTTTTTAAGCATAATTGTAAAAACATATAAAATTTTCTTATGACTTATAGAAAAATAGTTTTTTGAAATTAAAAAATATTTTTTCCTTTGTGTTTATATTGTTCTTTTACTTCTCTCTATATATTCTTTATGCTTCCCAATCAATTTTTGGTTGTTTGTTTTTAATATTCTCTTAAGTGAAAATAATTTTAAATAACTTTTATAATATTTTAAATTTTTAACATTGTTTTTATTTTATATTTACATAAGTTATGCATCTAATTAATTATGTAATATTATTTGGTTCAAAAATTTTCGCATTACTATGATTTCTTATTTAAATATATTTTATTCATTAAATATAACTTTTTCCTATTATAATAATTTAAAATTATTATATTTTGTAAATTCATATTTTTAATCATTTTTATTATTTAATAAAAATCACATCTATTTTCGTCATTCTACAAACTAAATTTACTTATTTAATCATAACCTAAATAATTTTTTTTATTTTACAAACTGACATTTACAAATGTCAATATAAATATAAATCACATTATCTAATATAACTTTTATCCAAAAGTCAGATTGAAAATAAATTATTTTTTACTGTTAATTCAAACAGACCCTTAAAAAATTTGCATGTGTTTTGCTGACAGACATAACCATGTTGAATTCTTCAAATGAAACAATTTTCTTCTGGATGAACAATTGGATGCCAAGTGATTATAGTCAGGATGTTGTTGACAGAATTGTCAGTTGTCATTCTAAGTACCAATCAACTTATTTTAAATGATTTTGTATTATATGAGATAAATATGTGATAATTTTATTTTGTAAAATACAAAGTGATCACTTTTTTGTTTTGTGCCAACAAAAGTGATTACTCATTAGCTCCATAATATGTTACGTATGATTATTTTAGGGTAATCATGTCACATCTGTTAAAATTAAATAATTTAATTAGTTTCTTTAATCTACCCCAATTTAAGTAACTTTTAAATTAAAAGACCAGAGGAATAATTAATAAAAATGTACAATGTATGATAGAGAAAGATGGATAAGATTATATATATCTAACTAAACAGTGGGACAAAAAAGCACTGATATAAAACAGATAGATTTATCCAGAAAGCCCAACAGAAGAAGAGTTCGTGAAATGATAACATAGGGGACAGAGTTCCAAAGAATGAAGGCAGCACCAGCACCAGCACCAGCACCAGCAGTGACCACTATATCGAATACCAATGCATCAATCTCACACAAGTGAGAGCTCACCTGCAGGAATGGATCTCTTGACAAGTTTGTTCCAGGATTCGTTGGTCTCTGCGATGACCTTTAGAGCGTAAGCCTGTTTTATCACAATCAACGTTCATGATGCGATCGGACAGGATGAGGATATAATCATAATAAAAAATACAATGTCCAAAGAAGATGGTCACAGTACAATACTACCACACATGCCACTCTAAATTATCTTTCTTTGGTTTATTACAGACAGAAACCATATCTTGGTCTCCCAAAAATGGTGATTCTCGTTTTGATGCTATCAAGATTAGTCTAGCAAAGTAAAAAGCTGAAAAATTAAGGCTGCTTAGTTGGTCATAAAGCGAGTTCAGAAGCTTCCTCATCTTAGGGCTTCTTAAGGAAGTGAAAATTCCAAGAAAAGGGGCACTTTGCTATCAGGTAAAATTTGGAAGTAGGAGGTTTACACAAAGATTATGAGGAGTGGGAAAAGATCTTAAAAAGAAAGACCTATCTAGTGATCCTTTCCTCAGCAAGCCTGAGGTAAATTTCCAAGGTCTGTAAATGAATCATAAAAATGGCATCCCAACAACTCCTATGAGCGCTAAATTAAATTCTTAAGCCAAACAGAACCAAATTCCAAAAGAAACCAACACAATCGCTCACCCACTTGAGCATGTTCTTGGACACCATATTACCAAGAAGGTTTCTATAAAGGATTAATATATTTGGCCCCAAAAAAATGGTTTTCTTTTCTATTTATCTTTCCTAATATATTCTCTATTGGTGAGATGAGCTTTAAAAAAGTATCAGGCTTATTCCTTATATCTCCCCGAAAAACCAAGCAAATTGTGTCATCCATATAATTCATACTTTTCAATATATGATTTACAGTGTTTGACCACTTACTAGAGCAAACAAAATTCAATACAAGAGCCTTGAATTATGCCGTTTGTAGGCAACAAGAACCATCAAATTATTTAAGAAGGTAAGCTGATAATCTTTGACTACATTTGGAAAACAGAAAGATAGTATTTAGAGACAGTCAGATACTTGTGTTAAAAGATGAAAGTAACAAAAATACCTTATTTGCTGGCCGGTTGCCGAGGCCAAATTTATTAGCAGGTTTTCCATCAGGTATCTTGTAGTCTCTGAACCAATCCCTAATTGCGGTAAGGGTGCCCTGAAGACAACTCCCGGATTAATCATCAATAAAAATTGCTAATTAAGCCACCAAACCCTTTTCCCTGTCATTGGGGGCATAAAAATTTTGTGTGCTAGCATCAAGTTTATTCTGGAGGTATCTATTGTTCAAGTGATGTCATTTGACTAAAAAGTTATGCAATAATAGTTGACTGGCACAACTAAAACACGCGCGCGTGCAGACACAGAGACACAGACAGACAGCCAGAGAGCATGTCTACAAGAAAACAAAACTAAGTTCAAAATTAGAGTCCGTCATTTGAAAAGCACATTATTAAGCTTGTCTCCCAGCAATAGAGATGGAGCCCTTCCAACGAAGAATACAACAGACTTCAACCTACACACTATGAACTATTTATTCCTTCTTAAAAATCTGCTCAGTTAAAGATCTTAATTGTTTTTTATTTCTAGTCTTTCACAGTGTCTTTTTATTGGCTTTCCTTTTGCCCTACTCCCTCCCTCTGTATGTGTTTTTCCTCTCTCTGATGCCACATTTGCCCTAGTTGTGTTCAGGTATTGAAATGAAAGTTAGCTGTGTAAAATCCGTGCTTCCTTTCGTTAAGCATGAACTTGGAACTGCATTTCCAATTATCCACAGTGAAGGCTTACCAAGTCAGGCTGGGGTGGTGACAGATGAAGCATACTACCAGAACCTAGGTATCAACCAATCAAGCTACATAAATAAATTAGTAAATCATATGTAAAAAGAAAAAAAGAAAAAGAAAAATCAGAGCTCTCCATGTAGAATTCTTTTTTCTAATCTGTCTAGAGGATTTATTCTTTTTCAAGACTTTCTATTCATATTTTTCTACATTCACAAACACACACACAGAGGGACATGATGTAATGAAGAGAGTACTATAACTCCATCAGATAGTAGAGAGAGGAAAGGACATTAAACAATGCTATGCTACAATAGCAAAAACAAAATGGCAGAGAAGACAATCTAGTGAGGTAAGAGAACTTACTGGAAAATGCTTTTCAACATCGTCAACATCATTCACGAGTGAAGCCATTGGATCATCCAATGAAATTGCAACTATTTTCCAATCAAGTTCTCCTTCATCAATCATTGCTAAAGCAGCCAAGGGTTTCACCCTGAGAACCTCTCCTATTTTCCTCCGGCTTTCACCAATCTCAACCACATCAACTACATATTAAGAAGAATTTTAGACACATTTTGATGTACTCCTCGTATGACAATAACGCAGAAAAAATTGGAGGTTGAGTTTATAAGCAATGCAATACCAGGGTCATTATCTCCCAATGCACCTTCAACTTCAGAATTTGCATGAGACGGATCTTCCCATGTTTGTGGAAGCAAGCCATAGTTCCAATTTATGTTATAGCTGGAGATCATGCAAAACATGTTGCAGACCAGATTAGGGAGACACCAAACATTTCAAGCAACAATAAAATATAAGTTTTAAAAGAAAGAAATAATAATCCCAAGGCCTGACGGATAAGAACTCAATGACACTACAAAAATAGGCATAATAACTTGCAGAACATGGCATCTTAGGATTGAATTTCGTATTAAAGATGGGCAATGGGTTGCCAATTTTCCAACAGATTCATGGCCATAAATAGGGGAAAAAATAAGACACGCATAACAAGACATTTACATTACCACTGAGCCCTCGGTAAGTCTAAAAGATAAATTCTCAGTTGGATTAGAACAAGATAATGTTGACATTGAGAGGCCGGATAGTTGCATAGTTAAGCTGTAACTAAATTGACTGATTGAAACAATTCTCTTCAACAAAAGAGATTAGAAGAATTTTCTAAAGAATAACTTCTTTTGGATGCATTTGCACGAAATGAACATAGCTATTTACAGGCCTAGAGCCAAAGAGAATTTACAGCAATCTCCATGAGAGTAAGGATATTTACAATAAACTCTGAAATAAATAAAATAAAAAGGAAATATTAGGAATTCCGCGCTCTTTCATAAACCTTTTGATTTTTATTAATTGGAGCTCAGTTTGTGCATAGAATGTACTCTGTTTCTTTCTTTTCTTTTCTTTTTTAATTCAGCACCATTAATGCTTGGAAAAACAACTAGACGTACAACGATTAGATATCAAGGAAATTTATAATCAGCAAGGCATATTGAACAAATTTAACCCATGAAGATAATGCTTCTTTAAGGGCAATAAAATCTGCACAGAGCAGATTTAATATGCCAAGTCAAAGACAAGCTATACTGCAAAAAGAGAAAGGGTATGAGCAACGAAGCTGTCTCTTACGGATAATATCGGAGCTTTCCTTTTTTCGTATCCTGCTTAATAGGAGTGAATGGCTCGTCCGTAGCAACCTCCATCTTTGCACTAGATTCTTTTGGTATCTCAACAATAAAGTTAAAGATATCAGCACCTAGCTGCAACGGAATATCATGCCAGGGAGAAACCTGCATTGTACAGCATGAATTTCCGTAGGTACATGCAAAACTGTACAAGTGACAAGAACTCTCAAATTTCACGAGAAGCACATAGAGCAGGAAACTCGTACATACGACAGAACTCTGAGTTCTGTACTTTATTCTATAGAAAACTTCTGATCTTTTTTATGCAAAACAATACAATCAATCCAGAAGTTACTGCCAGAAAAATACAAAATATTGTCCTCTGTTTCACTCACTTCACCAGAAACTACGAGAACTGGAAGCCTGGTGGAAAAAATCTACAATTGGAACAATTGTCGATGAGGCAACTAATGTTAGCCCACGAATTGGCCGAGTTATCAACAGCATCTAAAAAAGTAGGTTTATGGGTTTCTCAAAGAGCATTACGGGGTTAAACAAGAAGACACTACTCGGTACACGGAAAAACAATGCTTTCTGATTCCAAATAAAGATGGTGCAAATTTATCAAACGTAAAAGTTACACCCGCCACCCTGATCATTTCAATCCAAATCTAACAGAAAAGTGTTAAGCACGAATCGGTAATCCATTCAACATGTACTCCTCTTCCATTTTCTCTTACTAATCAAACAATCCACGATTAAATACAAAATCACCCGAATTTTCACGGCACAAAATCGCAATTTTACATTAACAATTTTAAAATACAGCGAACATTATATATAAGAAAGACAAAACATTCGAAGCACAACATCCCATTTCACAAAGTCTAAGCCATTAAACCAGTAATTAGATGCCCATTTCAGCCACCACCAAAAACAATGCACAGAATGAATGAATCAAAAGGAGCGGAATTAATCAACCTTCTTCCCGGACTTATCAACGAAGAAGACTCTATAATCTAAGGTTTCAGGCTGGCCTTCCTCCTTGACCTGAACATCGGGATTGTAGATAGCCCGGCAAGTGTAAGACCTCTTGGAAGAAGGACAACGAAGCTTGAGGTTCTTAAGGCAAAGGCTATCAACGAAGGGCTTTTGCCTCCGCAAAAACGGGGATTTGGTAAGCAAGGAGCACGCAGAGTTGCTGGTTATGGTCATCGCTCTAGTGGCCGCCATGATTGCTCACTGATGCTGCTTCAGTGACTCTGGGACTTGAACCTGTGAGGCTGTGACTTTCCCTGTTTTGCTGATAGGCTACCTTTTATTTTCTTTCTTTCTTTTTTAATTATTTATTTATTTTTGAACGCGTAGGCTGTTTTGTTGTACTTTCGCCGTTTTCGCGGCCTAGTACATAGATCAAGCGGAGCATCTGATTTTCTGCTGTAGTACAAGCTTTTCTTTACCCCATTCTGCAATGTTAAATTGTTTTTATTTATCTAATGAAAATAAAAGATATTCCTTCGATCTTTAATATAAAACTCATTTAATTAATTTGATTAGATTAAGAAAATTAGATAAGTTAGTTAATTATAAGAAATATAACACGTTTTTTCTAAAATACTATAATCATATTTCTTAATACCCCACCTTTCTCTTCTACTTGATTATGGTTAAAAGAGTATCTATAGGGATAATTTAGAGATAATTGATAAATATGAGAAATGGGTCTTATATCTAGGACCAAAACCAACTTACCAATTGGTACTTATATTAAGGACCGGAGGAGTATTATTTACCTTAAAGTAAAATATGTTTCAAATCATAAATTCCTTTTAAACCATAATTGTAGGAATTATAACACAACTCGTATAAAAACTTAATAAGCCTATTTCCTGATTTATAAAAATATAAATTAATAGTCCTCCGGTCCTTAATATATGACCTAATTGTTAAGTTAGTTTTGGTATTAAATATAAGACTCATTTCTCATATTTATTAATTTTCTCTAAATTACTCCTATGGATACTCCCTCAACCATAATCAAGTAGAAGAGGAAGAAGAGATATTAAGAAAGATAATTATAGTGTTTTGGAAAAAAAATATGTTATATTTCTTATAATTAACTAACTTACCTAACTTTTTTAATCTAATCAAATTAGTTAAATGGGTTTTATATTAAATATCGGAGAAGTATTACCTCTTCACAGAAGTAGTACAAATATAGAGTAAAATATATTAATCTCCCTTCTATTTAACCTAAATTATAAAAACATCTTTTTTTATTTTGAAAACCTGTATAAACCTCCTTTAAAATTAAAATATATATTGCATTCACTTTCTTTCTAATTTTAAATTCAACTATCATCTACCCAAACATCAGTTAATCGTTAAATCATAATATTCTCCAATTATTTTGACCAATTAACACAAATACTAAATAATTATAACCTTATCTTTATCTGAAATTTAAAAACAATTTTATTTTAATATTTTTTGTTATACTTCTAAATCCATTACCATATTACAAATTTAATTAACCTTCTAAATATAATCTTTTATTTTCAATGAATTTAAATTTTCAATCTCATTTATTCATTAAAACTTACCTGTGATGTAATCTTTTAAATATATATGTTGGCTGAAAATATTTTACAATTGTATATATGTATTTTTAATTAATAAAATTATAAAATGATATAATTTTGAGATTCCCACATTAATGTGTTATAGTTCACAATTTTTAAATATATTTCATAAAACACATCTTTATTAAAAAAAATTACTCAAAATTTCGACCAAACTTAAAATTTCAGGAAATAAAAATATTGCTTATATTTAGAACCAACTCCAATCCTAGAAGCCTAGCTTGTTAGCAAGTATGTCTATAGGGGCAATGAAATGAGGACCTTTGACACTAAACAAATGGTTGGGGATAAATAATTCAAACGGTAAATTTGCATCTGTTAAAAAGTGTATTCTCATACTGAACAGAAGCAGAGGAACTACAACACAAACAGGGCAACCAGAGGGTCACCTTAATTGAAAATACCAGACAGTAGAAGTTAAGGCAAATTACAAAGCAGCAAGAACATTAGCTCTGCTGGATTCCACTTGGCCATGACTGATTCTTTACTGGCTTTAGAATAGCTTCAACCTCTGCTAAAGCTTCTTCATCAATCCCTGAAGCTGCAAGCAGCAACATTCTCCTCCACCTATTTTGTCAGACATGCTAACGTAGATCAGTTTATTACATTGTCAGCTATGCTCCAAATTGCTTTAGAATAGCTTCAACCTCTGCTAAAGCTTCTTCATCAATCCCTGAAGCTGCAAGTTCTGTCGCAGCAGCAACATTCTCCTCCACCTATTTTGTCAGACATGCTAACGTAGATCAGTTTATTACATTGTCAGCTATGCTCCAAATTGTTCACACACAAATCTTGTGAGCGGTACAGTCCCAGTGATTCATTATTTCTCAATCTTATATTGCTGCTAGTATCAGTATGAAAAACAGATATACTACCTCCAATCCTCAATATAAAAGACAGCTAACAAATTTGCAAATATTAAAAAAATAGTTAAACTAGTTATTTGTAATAAATGGGTACTAGCTTTCCTAAAATACTTATTTTAATCACATGCATTGGTATCACCCTTTGATTTAATATGTGCGATCAATGAGGATATTTTTAGGCAAACATTATAAATTTAGAAAACAAAATGAATTAAAATCTTATATTGAGGACTGAAGTAAACCCCTTACTTAACTCCTATATTAAGTTAAGGGCAAGAAGGAGTATTCCATTACGTCATCAACTGAGGATGCAAAGCAGGAATAGCAGAACCATGTGCAAGTGGTCTGAGTAAAAAGAAGACTGCCAAAGAAATATCCTTGCAGCATAAAAACTGCTCCTAAATTTTTCAAATGGACATAACTTAAAAACTAATCAATATCAACGTTGACATAAAATATGAAATTTATAGCAAGTTGTACTATTCACAAATCATAACCAATGTAACATTCTCCTTAGGTTCTGTGCAATACATGAGAAGTCCACCTAATTTGTTAAAAGTTAAAAGATGCCGCCCACAAAAGCCAAGGGGCTTCTATTGTCTGGCAAGTCATTTAGCACCACAAGCTTCCACCAACACGTGGGATTTCAAATATTATTGCCCGGTGCCATAGATTTATTAAATTTGCTCCTACACTTTTAGGTTTTTGATGTTCATCCGTGACTTTTAGAGCAGAATATGGACAGAGTCTACTGATAGAGTGGGGCAAAAGATATGATCACCAACTCATAAGAATCATAAGGGGTACTGCCATAGTAGAAAGTCACATTCACATTTTTTGTAAAAGAAATATGACCAAATTTCTGAGTAGATCCTGGCAAACTTCTTAATGAGCTCCTAATCGTATAGTGGTTGGTGTATAAAGTTATGGTACTAAAACCATAAATACCGTATCAATCAACAGCATCTTTAATGTGAATGAGATGCTAATTGTGTAGTTAGTAATTTGTTGAACATGGAAATGACAAATGTCAATATTTTCACATTTTCTACCGGGGGAAAACTGTCCAATATCCTTAGAGGGAATAATGCAAAGAGACAATCAATTCATTCTCAGATGAATACGACACATGATAGGTTCACATCAAAGGGAGACCCATTACCCATAAAATCAAATAGATACTAGATTTAAGAAAACAGACAGATGATTATAAATGATTTAAATGTGGCAGTCCAGGAAGATGATGAAACAGAACCTGCTTAACAGACTTCATGCCAACTAGCACTGATGTGATTTCTTTATTTAACAAGCTATACTGCATTGCTAACTTTGCAATACTCTTCCCCTTTTCTTTGCAGTAGGCGGCTGCAGCTTGACATGCAGACTGCAAGTATCCAATACATTAAAGCAATTTAATTAAGATTAAATATCATATGTTACATTGATATTAAGAAAAGTAATCCTAAGCATTTCTAACAGCTTCAACTTTTGAGAAGTAATGATCCTTGATATGGTGTTAGAGCTTCTATAATTAAATTATAAAATTTCATTCTTGGTGTTTCCATTTTCCATTTAAGCGCTAGGTGGACTTGTGCTTTATTCAAGCTTCAATTCCAGAGGGCTTTCACTCAATAGGGAAGATTAATTAGAATGTATTATTAAAACCAATCTTGAGCTTCCCCCCGTAACTTCCAACTTTTGGGATGGAACAGGACTTCCCATAACATAGTACCAAAAGAGACATGCTTATTTGGAAGCACTGGCGATGGTTGAAAAACAGGAAGGAAAAAGATGATTTCCAACTCTGGCAAAGGTATGTTGAAGGTCATCTCTATTCTTTCAATAGTTTATTCAGCAAATGAACCCCCCAATAAAAAATAAGAGGTTGACCATTTTGGTCACACCCATTTTTTTTCTTACTCTATACCCTTTTTTCCGGTTCTTAGTGCCCATCATTGTTATGCACAAGCATTTATAAAAAGTTACAAATTGTGATTGGTATAAGCATTTTTATCTAGTCTCTCTCAGTTTTATTTATTCACCGTGGGAGAAAATTTGTGTGGTTATGACTTCCATTCCAAGGGTCTACTATGATCTTTTTTTGGCAACTAATATGATCTTTGTTAAACTTACATAATCTGATTTAATTTATTACATTCTGATAATTGCAAGTTTGTAAGAGAAACAGAGTTGTTTATTTTTGAGAAACTAAGCACACCTTGAGTTCAGGTGAAGCTGGATGCCATTCTGGAGGGCCGCTCTCAGTGAGAAGCCCCATTGCTAGAGGAGAAGCATTGACAATACCAACACCTTTGCTCTTTAGATATGGTATTATGTCCTCCAGGGTTGAATCATTTATACAGTAATGGCAATATGATAATATTACATCCACTGATCTAGGTGGTACACGATCAAGCACGTAAGTATAAATATGCAAAGGAAGCCCAGTAATACCAATGTAACGAGCTTTCCCAGCTTCCTTTATTTTCTGAAGGGCAGGGATTGTTTCCTTAACAATCTGTGTTCAGAAGAAAGCCAACATGTGTTAGAAATTAAGATTAAGAACAAGAACGCACCAAACCCCACATCGATAAGCTCAAAGATTTGCAAATATTTCAAGAAGAAATCACCTGATCCAAAGAACCAAATTCAATATCATGGCAGTATAGTATGTCAACATACTCCAGCTGCAATCTTTCCAAGCTCTCATCAATACTCCTGGTTACTCTGTCTGCACTGAAATCAAAGCCCTCCTCCTTGTATCGTCCGCATTTTGTTGCAACAACATACTCATTTCTTGGAACACCCAGAGCTTTTAGCGCATTGCCTAGAACTTTCTCTGACAATGTCCCTCCATAATAACTTAAGATCAGAAAATAAAAGATTAAACCAGTTAAAATCAACTCCTTAAAAATGAAGACAATAATTATCCCCTCAACCTGATTTATTACTGCAAATGGATTATCTTCCAAACCCAGAAAAGGCCAAGAAAATATTTCACCAAATTTATGTCAGCTAGAACATTGGATAAAGCTTATCAAATAGGATTAGTTTAGTACAAGAAGTAACTAGTAAACCGTCTAAGAAGATAAAGATATAAGGTAAGGAAAAAAATAAGAACTTGAAATCATCCACCACTCCTTAGTCAAATCCACAATTATATAGTCCAAGTTGATATATTAACCATGTCCTAATCCTGTGGGTCAGATAGAATTTTGTTTTCAACAGCAAAGCATAAAAATAATAAAGCAACCTTATGGAGCATCTTATATAAATTCTAAGTTTCTAACCCAGACTTCACATCTTACTGGAAAGCCAATTTGTTGAGAGATGAGATGACTCTGACGAAACTATCAGGCTCTTTGAATTTTACTCCCCGATAGAAACAACAGCCATCCCCAACTCCGAAAAAATGAGCTAAAAGATACCCATTTCCGATTTTCAGTGAAAAATAAACAGGAAAAAAAAAAAACCAAGACGAAACCTTTCTTGGGGAAAAAATTATGTTCCGGGTCTCAACATCAAACGTTTGAACCCAAAAGTTTCAATTAATCTTATCTGGCTTTTTAACAAAATAGTGTCATATTCAAGTTGTGAGCAGATCAAGAATCATGACGTGAGTGCACACTCTTTTAAGTCATTGTTTCCTTAATTTGCTTTTTTGAACTATCTCTTCTCCGATTCACGCATCATACAACAACATCCAAATAAAGCACAACCACGAGTTGAAAACACAAATCAATCACATACGGAGAAGTGTCAAAGAAGTTAACTCCCAGACGAAAGGCTTCACGGACAGCAGCATTGGCCTCTTCGTCAGAAACGGTGCCGAAGACATTGCCCAGAGGTGACGCTCCAAAACCCACGCAGCTGAGCTTAAGCCCGGTGTTCCCGAGCTCCCTAAGCTCCAATTTGGGGGTCGCAGAAGCCATGGTTTCTCCGGTTTAAGAACAGTGTTTTGGAAGCGAGAAAATGAGGAAGAAGAAGGGGGTGAAAAATACTCGCGAAAATCTACATACTCCGTCTTTGAGAGTAAAAAGACAATGATTAAGTGGCAGGGACGGTGCAGAAGATCGAACAAGAAAGGAAGGTGCTCGCTATAGACGATGTTGGGCTCAGCAACCTCGCAATTCAGGTACAGACAAACGTACCCACACAAAAGTTTTAACTTGCTGGCAAAACGGAATGGAGAAACTGACAAATATGGACCCCAAAAAGCATCAAAACTACTGTTTTAAAATTACTTTTACAGTGTATAAAGTAAACATACAGAGAAATTTATCTCGATTTGCTTCTTATCCAAACAACCTCTGGATCCCAATCAACAACTTCTTCTTTTTTTTTTTTTTTGACTCACAATCAACGACTTCGAATATTGGAAAAATTAATTAATTGTCCCATAATTGACAGCTTTTCAAAAATAGGTCAGTGCAATGAATTAATCCCGTAAATATGAGACACAACTAACCATATCATCTATATTATAGAAAATAATTAACAACTTGATATAGTCATCATCAAGATTATAGAAAATAGTTAACAACTTGATATAGTTGAAATATTATATGTAGTTTTAAAATAAGATTAGTTGAATGTTGGATTTTGTCATAAATATAAAACCTTAATCTACTTTATGTTCTAAATTTATAACACAGCTTCTAAAGTATCACTATAATTAAAGGGAATTAGGTAATTATGATTAAAAAAAATATTTTAGAAAAAATAATTAATATTTGTTACAAATAACCATAACTAATTTTTTTGCCAAAAACTAACATAACTGATTGAAAGGTGAAAAGTGAGTTTCAAACTATATTTAAGTTAGACTAAGATTAAACAATTTATAAAATACGAGAGGTAAGCATGTAAAAAGAGTTTTGTATCGGTTTATACATGTGAAATGTGTTTATAAATTATTTTAATCATGATTCCAAACAGGGCCTAAGACTATTTCTAATTTAAGCTCCTTAGTTATTTGCATATTAATCCCTTAAATTTTAACTCCTTCTTCACCTTTCAGTTTATCAAACTTACACTCATATAAATCAGATACTATAATGGATGGAAAATCATAAAGTATTCCTCAGATGAAAAAAGAGATAAAAGCAAAAATATTTCATAATTAAATTCTAAACATGAAGTCAGTGTATAAAAAGGTAAAATGAAGTTACTCTCAATGATGAAGTTAATCACATCCTATCCTTGATTGGGAAATTTAATCACAATTAAAAACCGAAATCAATATCAAAACAAGGAGTAGTATGATCACATAACAACCAAACGTTGCATTATTATGGAGTGTGGCCCTACAGCTAAGGGAAAGTATTTCTTTATTTTTTTGTGCAAGGGAAAGTATATTAATTGGATTCTTCTTCTTTTTTATCTGATTTTTTTTTCTTTTTCCTGAGCTGCCAGGTATTGAATCAACATGCGTATTATTATGAACATTTTTTTTTTAAAACTCAGCCATAGTTGATACTGTTAGAGTCAGTCACCTAGAGAGATTGAAAAATGAGTTAATACATTTCTGAAATAATTGAAATTAATCAGCCAACTAAGGTAATTAACCATAAGCATAGGGACTAATCAAATGCTTTTGAAGTGTCCAGGTATGTTTGAAAAAATGTGGAAACTATAGGGACTAAATAATTAGTTTTTTGTTACATTTTAAAATACTCAGTATCAATATAAATTATAAGGGATAAAAGTGCATTGAACACCACAATCTTTTTTATGATGTATTCAGAAACTTAATCTAGTTTTTTTTTTGTTATTTTTTTAGTTACATCCAATATCATAATTTTTAGAATGTTAAATGTACCATAAAAAAGATCAGAATATTAAATGTATTTGGGGGGGAAAAACAGATCATGGTGTTGGACCTTTGCTCAATTATACAATATTTAATAAATTGTATCATTCATATGTGTCAGGGTTTTGAATATCAGTATATTTTATTTGGAATCACCTCCAGTGCTTATCACTTTGATGAGTACCTTAAACTTATCAGATCTAGACGATCTAGATTTCACTTGGATGATCTAGATTTAATTTCTTTTTTCTTTTTATTTGTTTGAGATAATTATTTTAATAGGTATAGAATAGAACTAAAAATAATCTCTCAACTATCATTTTTTGGAAAAAATAATTTTTCTATTTAAAAATAATTAATTAAAATTTTAAAATCTGAACCATTCAAATTAGATCTCAATGATCAAGATCTGATAATTTTAGGATGCTCATCAATGTGCTGAGTACTAAGGGGGTGTTTAGCAACCCTCAAAAGTGCTTTTAAGAAGCAATTTTCAGTAAAATGAGGTAAACTTCTCTACATATTTACTTCGTAAACTGTAAAAGTACTTTTAAAACCATAATTTGGTTTCTATCCAAACATCCCCAGAACATATTCCTACTTTGAAGTCTTTTTTTTTCCCCCCTTGGGTACAGTCGAAGTCCATTCATTTCAAAATGCAATAAAGCTTTGTCACAATGGGCCAACTAAAATCCTGAGCCCATTAAATTGAGCGGCCCAAGAAATGATTAATATGTATAATTGATATATATTATCATATCACGAGAACAACTCAATCATTTCAAATTAATTTGATAGTTAGCTCAAGTTTTTTATATTCATTATATCAAAATTCTTTATTCTCACATGGCCATATGTCTCTTTTTTTTCATATGAGTTTATAGTTAAATGCTAGTATTTCAAAAATTGAACACGCAATTATATATGATCAGAGAACTTGATATAATAAATATAAGAATTTGATGTAAATATTATCCTAATTTGAATATGTCATTTCCCATAGCAGACTATAGTATTGTTTACATATATATATGGTTAAAGTATACTTTTAGTTTTTTAACTTTACATAAGGTTTCATTTTAGTCCCTTAACTTAAAAAAAAAAAACTTTTAGTCCTCTAATCCTAAAACCGTTAACAAAAATAATGATATTGAGCTTTTAAATATCGATAAAATATTACTAAATACTAACATATTAAGTTTAATTTTTAAAAGAACCATGATTGTTACAAAACATTATCATTTAAGACTAACAATTTTAGGATTAAAAGACTAATAGTATACTTTTTAAAGTTGAGATCAAACTGCAACCTTATATAAAGTTAAAGGACCAAGTATATACTTTAGCTTATATATGTGTGTGTATATATATAAACCATCTCCAGAGATATGTTCCCTCCCATCCTTTTCGTCCGGTGTCTATTATCGTGGAGGCCTTAGTGATCTGAGCTTCATCGCATGCACGTGGCCGTCCTATAGTTTTGATTATGTGCGTGTTCTATATTACTCCCTCTCATCGTATGTTATATAGAGTATCTTTTAGGCTCTGGCAAAACAGGAAGAGGTATCTTTTAGGCGTTATTGGTCTTTTTCACAAAGCATTTGATAATTTTAGGGAATATGTCATGTACCAGTGTTGCTTTTTCAAGGCCTTCATTGATACTATCCTCCTGTTATTGATATAATAGTTTGTTTGATTTTTATATTAATCTTAAATATAAGACCCCAATCCATTTTGTACATTTTTTTTTTTTAAAAAAATAGTCCTTGTAATAATAGTAATTTTAGCTAATACATTTGATTAGTAATGATATTTTAAGAAAAACAATACTTATTTATTACGAATAATTAACTTAATTGGTTTTTTTAAAATCTACTCAAATTAATCAATTAGCTCTTATAGTAAGGACCTAAGGTAGTCGTTCACTCTTCCTCCATATCCTTTTTCTTGTTCTTTCATTCATCTCCATTGGTAAAGCTAAGCTAGTTTTGCGCCCTGAAACGGATTGATTGACTGTGGATCGTTCCAACTTAAACAGTGTTCTCATGTTTGAGTCCTAGGTGCGCAGCTGTGATAATTACTTCATGGTATCAAGGTTCCTTCATTTTGGGGCTGTATTCTTGTGAACCGGGCTAGTACGTTTTTGTTAGTGTCACAGTGGAGAATCCAAAGATTATTAGTATTTTTTTTGAGTGAAAAGGAATTTATTGAAAAATAACAGCAACAAACTTACAGAGGGAACTTTAGAAAAAGCAAAAACTACCAAGAGATTACATAATGAGCTGTTTACGAAACTCAGCAAATCTTATAATTTGATCAGTCAAAGAAAAACCTTCATTAACTAGTCTTGGAGGCTATGGGTCGCTTCATGATTGAAAAGTCTTCCATTGCGGGCATTCCAGAGTTTCCAACAGAGAAGATCAAACATCACGCACCAATTCAGGTTGTTCTTACTCGTGTCCAGATTCTTCTGCAACCATCTTCCGAAGGGTATACTTAGAAAACGCGGAAGGTGATGCGGGGGGATTACAAGGCTCCAGCAGACCTGAGCCCAATGACAGCTCCTTAAGACATGGTCTAAGTCTTCGACTCCGTGGCCGCATGATTCACATTGGGTGCTATGGGTCATGTGTCGTCGGTAACGTTCAGCATTAGTTAGGAGCTTGTTACTTAAAACTAACCAGAGGAAAGATCTTACTCTCTGTATTCCTGGCCATTTCCGTGCTAATTTCCAAATTGGATTTTCTTCATCCCATTCATTCTCCATAACCAATTGGTAGGCTGATTCAAGGCTGAACCCATGTTGAGAGGTTAGCCTCCAGTAGCAGCTGTCTTTTCCTTCCGTTGGGTTCGGGGGGCGCATCTCTGAAATTTGGCGTAGGATATCTTGCGGGAGGTGTTCAGAGTATTCCTGCCAGTTCCATCTTCCATCCGTAGGATCCAAAGATTATTATTATGTATTCCATCTCCCTTCATATATGTTATTATAGACTAGAGTTAGGAATACGGCCAGGCTACCATATCCACCAATCTCTCAGTTTTTTTTTTTAATTTTCAAATTAATAAATAGTGATCCAAAATTTCAAAAGCAATCATAAGTCTAAATCATGTTTAATCACAATCATAATAGTCAATACATATAAAAAAAAAACAATACATTACAAACATATAATCAACATTCAACATCTTCAAGTGATAAATTTACAATCTTTTCATATGATATTTGATACAAAAAAAACTATCTCTTAAAAAATAAATCAGAAATGCATCTTTTTTTTTTTTAAAGTTCATTCACCATGTTTTTCTTAAATTTTTTCCTTAATAATATTG